ATAGATAGAAAAAATTCAAATGGTAGGCGGTGTCAGGAAAAACTGATAAAATTGACCCCAAAATTTCAAAAAGGTCAAAAATTTTTTTGGGGATATTTTACTATCAGGTAGGACAACAATTTCCCCAAGTTTCCCTTTTTTTCGAAAAATCAATTTTTTAACTCAGGACATTACACGTAAAATGCCTCATATGCATCAACAAAAACTATTAATCGATTTTTTAAAACTATTTATTTACTTGAACTTTTCAGAAAATTAATAACTACGAAAATTTATTAAACTAGCGCCTCCGACGGCCGCGTTGGCCGTCTTGGTTGCTTCTATTTTTTGGCCATTTAATTTAATTTTTAATTTATGTTTCATAATTTATTACAATTATTTTATTAAATATTTAATAATATTGTTAACAAAATTCAAAAAAAGCAAGTAATTATAGAGAAAGTTTCAAACAGTAAAATGATAATCTATTATATTTGTAAAATTTGTCTGAAAATAATAATAATTGTTGAATAATTTTTTTTTAAACTAAAAACACATTTTTATTCAAGGTAATATTATTTTCATAATAATTTAATTTATTACAATTATTTTATTATAATTTAAATAATAATTTCATTATTTTAAAAAAGGGGGCACTATTTTGTTTTGAGCCAATCAGGTGATTTCAATTAAATGTATAGGTTATGTTCGTTTCTGATTCATGACAACTGCAAACATTTACAACAAATAATTCTTTGCAAGTATGTAAATTTATTGCAATTAAGTAAGTTATGCAAAATATATATATGTGGAACAATAATTTTTAAGGTGATTTTCATAAAATGAATATTGATTTAGATGCTCTGGAAAGCATAGTTCATTTTTTCTTACATTCGATTTTTTTCGATACATTTTCACGTACTGTCTTTTTTTAAGAAAAGAGAAAGTTTTCTTTAAAATACACGAAATTCTTAATTGTGTTGCGTATTTTTATTCAATTCTGCATTTTGTATTATATATAATTTATTAATCATAAGTAGATATTTAATTTTTAAATAATTAATAAACTTTTATACAGTGCCAATAACTGGTGCAAACGGGTGATTTTTAATCTTTACGAAAAAAGTGAGGTTAGGTAAAAACTTTTTCACTCTAATTTCTTTAGTACATGAAATATCACACTTGTTTTATTTTATTTTTTTTTTTTACATTTTGATATTATGTTCTTGAAGTCTAAATAGTTTTCAGAAGGTGTATTTGGTGTATAAGGTAAGCCAAATAAAAAATGTCAATTTTGAGGATAACAGATGACATGAAATATGTCGCAAATATATTTTTCCAAACAATTTTTTTTTTTTTTTTTGTTTAATTAAAAAAGGTTAAAAGTGACAGTTTTAGGTCATCTCTCGTAAGATTTTGGAACAACTTTCGAAAAATTCCGAAGGCAACGAGTTTTCATATTATTCTGTTACAAGCTTTTTCTAATAATAAAATTGACTGAATATAACACCAACAAATATACAAAAGTCATGCATGATTCAACTTAAAGATAGAAAATGTAGAAAAATTTCACTATCTAATCTTATTATATAATCTCGATTCTCGATAGATACATATTTTGCAGAAAATATTACATTTAAAAAAAAAAACAAACAAATAAATTGTTTATTTAAAAAATTCCCATTTAATTTCATTTTGAAAAAAGTTTCCTTTCTTTAATGTATGCGCTTGAAACGAAAATAATAAAAAGAAAATTTTTTAAATGAAACTCATATTTTATAATAAAAATAATTTTAATTTTGAATTTTGTTGTCTATATTATAATTATGAAATTTTTAACTAGTTTTGTTTATTTTCTAACTTGAAGTTAACTAAAACTATTATAAATTTTTCAAATTCTATCTAAAATTGTAAACGAGCAAACTGCTCTACATCTGATGATATTTTAAGATCACTTTAACGCTTCAAGAAGTCACTGCCTCTGTTAAATTTCACTTATATATATATTCTTATTTATTTGTTAAAGAATATTCATAAAATTTACAAATATTTATAATTGTCAATGAATAAACAATAAACAGAGGTTAAAAATTATAAAATTTTCATTTTAAATAAAAAAAATATATTTTAAATTTTAATTAATTTATCTAATTTGATGTCTCATTTTTTATAAAAAACCATCCTCTTTCTATTTACCAACGCATCAGCCAGCTGCCCCTGTGGCCTAATGGATAAGGCATCGGTCTCCTAAACCGGGGATTGTGGGTTCGAGTCCCACCAGGGGTAAAATAAAATTTTTGTTCTTGTATATACAGTCAAAAGAGACTTTTCACAATAACTTATATTGTTTTGACAAAAAGAAAGAATTATTTTTACTGTTGGGAGAAATTATTTAGAGAAATATATATTGTTTAATAATTGAGGGTTAAAAAAAACATTTTTTATAAATACTTTTCAAGGGCGATAGTAAAAAAAAAATTTTTTTTAACGCACGTGAGAAACTTTTAATTCTTTAGAAAACTCGCTTGCAGTTACTTTCTTTAGTGCTCGTTCGATATCAGGTATAATCAATATACATAAAGAAACAGGGAAAACTCTTTTATGCAACGACAATATTTAATTTTCCAAATAAATTACTAATCTATGGGAAATGGCTCAGATAATAAATTTACTTTTTTTTATGTTAATTAATTCGCAACTATTGTGAATACATTATAATTTTTATTATTATTATTATTATTATTATTTATAATAAATATTTATTAAATTAATAAATTATTTAAAATGGCCTTAAATAATTATTAATATATTAATTATTATAACAAATATATGAAAATAATTTTTCTTATGGTTAATTCAGTCCTAGAGCATTATAATGATTAGAATCAATAGACTATATAGTTTTAAACTCTATATGATATTTCATGTTTCACGGAATATTTTGTATACATACAACCGATGTATCACGAGAAAATTATAGAGAAAAAAAAAAGATTTCAGATTTTCACAAAAATATTTGTTTTTTTTTATATTATTGAGAAACTCATAATAGATGGATATTTTTAAAAATTATAAATTATCAAAAAAAAATGTTTAAAAATAATTAAAGAATTTTTTATTAGTCAAAAAAATAAAAATATATTTCTAGTATTTTTATTTTGAAAATTAATATTTCAAGATCTAAAAGAATAGTATAACTATAATATTAAATCTTATCCACGTTGATTGAAAAATGATCGATTTTAATTAAATTTCATATTATATATATATATATTTTATCAAGTTTCACGAACTTTACTGATGGGAACTGATATATATAGAGACGGATGCAATATTAAACTATCGATTCTTATCATATCATGAGAGAGTAAAGCTGTTTTTCTCACAAAACAATAAGAAACTGAACATAAATGACTAAGAAAATAAGAAAAAAATTTGCCATTTTTTAAATTGATAAATTATTTGACTTTTGTTATTATAAACATTGAAATAAAATTTATTTGAAAAATTAAAATATTTGATTTAAACATATAATAATGAATATATTTATATTTATTTCTATATAAATATTTAGTAACAATAAAAATAACAAAAATAATAATTTACTATATTCAATTATGTATCTACCAGTATATGATAAATTGGAATAAAAGAAATTCTAATTTATGTTTTTTGAAAATTAAGTAAATTGTTTTTTTTTAAATTAAAAGATTATGAGAGGAGCACTTAAAAAAATGTATTTATGAAAGTCAAACATACAAAGTGCAGTTATGATTTATATATGAACAATCTTGTATAGTGAGACTATGTATTTTTTTGTTTTCAATGTCACAAAGTATTTATATAATCTGTGTATAATTCATGATATTATTTCATATGCTATACAACGTTTTAAAAATAGTGAAAAATTTTCTATTATCATCATTTCGTAACAGATTTGTAATTAAAAAAAAAAAAATGCAACTTTTTTCTGACTGAAAGGTCTTAAAAGATATGGAAATCTATTCAATAATGTTTTAATAAATTATTGATAATAATTTTATTGTTATACAAAACATGTGTTCACGTGTGTAGAATAAAACTAATTTTTTTATAACCTCAAACTTTTATGTATCCTTTAAGCTATATAAATTCTTTTTTTATATTTATTACAATGAAATAATGTTTAATTCACTTTTTTTTAAATATTTACACATAATATTATAGAAAATTAATTTTCATATTTTAGAACAATTGTTTAGTAAAATCGTTGTTTACACTTTTACAAGTTGAAAAGCAACTGAAAATATTCTAAAAAATTTTTTTGGTTATTATTTACAATCTTTTAATTACCTCCGTTTTAATTATAATCGTTAAGTCAATGAACAAGAAAAAAAATTTTATAATGATCACATTTCAAAGATGAATTACATTTTTAATCATTTTATTTTTTAATATTTTAGTTGATGAATTTTTGATTGAAATTTAATGAATATGATATTAATTCTCTTATTTTAATAAACGAAGACAAAAAAAAGAAGAATTTGTTAAATTTTACAAAAAATGTTGAACTTTTGAATTATTATTATTATTATTACGATTATTATTATCTAATATTATATATCGATAAGAAAAATTAAAACTATTTATAGAAAAAATCTAATATTATTTTTTCACTGAAAATTTCATATTTGAAATGTTCAGTTTATAAGAAAAACTTTTCATGACTTGCAAATAAAGCAATAAAAAAAAATTCAGTAATGTCTGGTGAAAACAAAAATTTTTATAGACAAAATTTAAGCAAAAAAAAAATTGAAAAATTATTTTAAAAAACTGCAATCTAAAAAAATTTAAATTTAAAAAATATTTTCTCTAGCTTTTGTGCAAAAATTATCAATAAAATTTTCATGGTAATTTTTCAAAGTCATTTTTTTTTTACATTTCATTTAATCGAAAATCTTACGTAAGTTTCTAAGTATTGCGTATGAGTAAAAGTTTACACATTGACTATAAATGTATCTGCAATAATAAGTAAAATATACCTAAAAGAAGGTGCGAGAGCAGATGTGATTATTTTCTTCAATAAATCCAAAAATTTTTAATCACCTTTCTCTTTATTTCAATTTATCATTCACAAATAACACTTGATACAATTACACGTTATATATATATATTTTTTGAACTTTTAACTTTTGGAATTTATTTTAAATTAATTAATAAAAAAAAGAAAATTAACTAAATAAATTGAATACAGTTAACACGAGCAAAGCACAAACGAATATCACGTGTCACTCGCACGAAACGCACCGGCTGACTGACTGAAAAGAACTCAGAACTTCTTGTAAGATGGTTTTCAAAGTATATACCTCGACGATTGTCGGTACTTTCCGCATGACGTAAAAAGACAATAATATAATTATATTATTTTTTCAATAAATTTTGCGATTAAAAAGAAATTTTCTTTTTTTTTGTAAGTTTAATTAATTACTGGAAATACATTAAAATATAAGTCAGCTAATTTCTAAAATAGTAATAAATTAAAAATTTTTAAAACAATATAGCTATCAAAAAAAAAAAAATAAATAAAAATAAAACGGTTAATTATTAAACTGTTATCATAAATTATTTTTATTTGTAGAACATTAAAAAGAAGTCGTTAATTTTTTATTTAATATTCATTATAATGTTTACTGTTCATTTGCTAAATTTTGTACATTATGATAAACGATAGACAAAACTTTATCAAATATAAAATAATTATGTTTTAAAATAGACTGATAAATTTTTATTCAATAAATTTTGTAATAAAAATTCGCAATATAATAACAAAAGTTATCATTTATGTTTCAAAAAATAAAAGAAATATACAAAACAGTAGTAACAATAAAATAATAATAACAAATAATATAATAATAATGTAATAAAGTATTAATAAAAAATATATTATTATTATTATATTCTTTTTTCTTTATAATATTTATGGTTTCGATATTTATATTGTTTTCTTTTTAGAGGAAGTATTATTTTTATTATAATTTATGTTTTAGGTTATGGACCATATAAAAATATAGAATTCAAATAAGTAATCCCACGAAGTAGTACCTATAAGTAAAACTATAAAATATTTGAAGGAATTTTATTATTTTCGTTTGTTCAATGAAAATTGAGTCAACAATTGAAAAAAAATAAATAAATAAAAGACAAACGCGAAAATATTTAGGTATCAAATTAAAATAAATAAAATTTAGAATAAATTTATATTTAAGATAAAAAAGAAAAATTAAATAAAAATAATCATATAATAAAATATCAAAAAAATAATTAAATAAATAAATAACATATAAGTAAACAGTTAAATATATAAATATAAGCAAAAATATATAAATAAAATAAGAGTATTAATAAGATAAAAATAGAAATGTTAGAAAATATTCATTTTTTACATTATTATTTATATATTTATATTATATTAAATTAAAAATTTTTTTTTTAATTATTTCTTCATTTATATTTATACAAAATTTATATCTTTTTGAACAAATTTCAAAGAATCGTTGAGATGATGTATATTTGTATATATGATGTATTCCACGCCAAAGTGTAAGTACATCTGCAATTGCATCTCCGTTTTTTTGAGATTTTTTTTTTCTTTTAGTACTGATTGAGACTAGCTTCCATGAATTTTTTCAAATTTATTTAGCAAGCCGTCTTCGAGTTATGGAATTTTGAAAATTGGAGAATTTTCATGACTTTTAATTTTTGAATGCTCATAACTTCCTTAAAAATGCATCGATTTTAAAAATCTTTTTTCAAAATGTGTGTTTTTAAGCGTACTTTAAAAAAAAAATCGAAATTTTTTTTTAAACGATATTATACTATCAAGTTTTTGAGTTTTAATGATAAAAAGTCATTTTTCTCATTTGACGTACTGATCGATTTTTTTCAAATTTTTTTCCAAAAAAACTACTTCTTTTTACGAAACTTTTAAGCCTAGTCCAATAATGGGCAAACAATTTTTACAATATTTTCGGAATGTTTCAAAAATTTTTGAATTTTTACTTTTTTAAAAATTTTTTTTTTTTATACTACGTACTTTTATGTATTTTGATGCGCTGATTACGAAAATCATAGTGAAAATAACCGAAAATTTTATTTTATCGTGAAAACCATAAAAAAAACCCAAAATTTATGGTTTTCTTCGTTTATTGGGTAAAATATGCAAAATTAAAAAAATAACTTTCCGACAAAAGTTATAGATCTGATTAAAATATATTTTTTATATCTCATGCATTTTTTTTAATTTTGCATATTTTACCCAATAAACGAAAAAAAACCATAAATTTTGGGACTTTTTTATATGGTTTTCACCATAAAAATCAAATTTTCGGATATTGTCACTATATGATTTTCGTAATCAGCGCATCAAAATACATAAAAGTACGTAGTATAAGAAAAAACCAAAAATATTTTTAAAAAATTCAAAATTTAAAAATTTTTGAAAAATGCTGAAAATATTGTATAAAAATTTTTTGCCCATTATCGGGCTAGGCTTAAAAGTTTTGTAAAAAGAAGTAGTTTTTTTGAAAAAATTTTGAAAACAATCGATCAGTACGTCAAATGAGAAAAATGACTTTTTATTATTAAAACTCAAAAATTTTATAGCAATATCGTTAAAAAAAAGTTTTTGACTTTTTTTTTTAATTACGCCACACATTTTGAAAAAAAGACTTTTAAAATTGATTCATTTTTAAGGAAGTTATTCCATAACTCGAAGATGGCTTGCTAAAAAAATTTGAAAAAATTCATGGAATCTAGTCTCAATCAGTACTAAAAGAAAAAAAAATCTCGAAAAAATCGGAGATGCAATTGTAGATGGACCTTCACTTTGGAGTGGGATTCATCATATATAGGTACATATATATATATATATATATATATATATATATATATATAAAATGTTTTCTAAATTATTTTGTATTTTTGAGGTCAAAAAAATTGTCATGCAAAACTATATAACATTATGAATAATGAGCATTGTTTAAAATGTACGTTTGTCGTAATAATGCTTGAAAATTAGAACACTTAGATGGAATTAGAACTCTTTTCATAATGTAAAAATAACTGCATTTCACGTATATATATATATATATATATATATATATACTGAACGACTTTTCTTGCATGAATGCGTTTAATAAATGTTTGTTTTAAATATATTTTCTAAACGTATACATAAGTGTATTGTAACAGGTATAATGTTGATGCATTGCAAAGACGGATACTTTTTAACAGATTCGTATATTGTCGTATACCGGTCTTTGAACCTTGGAAAAACGGTACAATATCTAAAAGTGAGAGACAAGTATCTCGAGAGACAAGAGTCATTATTCTTAAAATAATAAAATATAAAAATAAAAACTCCGGATATTTTTTAATTTATAAAAAATGAAAAAATTTAAAATTATATAAAAATAAAATGTAGATTATTTTCATGAAAAATTGTATTTCATTTAATTCGAAAAATTTAAACCAAAATACCTATTAAAAAAAAAAATTATTAAAATTATTTCTTTTTTAAATTCTGTTAATATTTTTTATTATTATTTTTTTCAATTAATTATAATGGAATTCAGTGAATTTGTATATAAATTACAAAGCTGAAGTACGCAACGTTTATGATAAACGATTTTTGAAGAAATAATTTTTTTAAATAAAAATTCTATAATTTTTTGCTTAAAAAATATTTTTTTATAATTTGTTGATTAATGAAAACTACAAGAAATATTTTTTAGGCAAACAATATTATTACAGAATTTTTCATTTTAAAATATTTTTTCTTCAAAAATCGTTTATCATAAAAGTTGCGTACTTCAGCTTCGTTATTAATTTAAAATTACTCAACAACATCTGCAAAAAAATATATATATATATATTTGAGTGAAATAAATATTTATTTCACTCTATTTTTATTTGGTTCAAATATACATTTTATTTGATCCAATTAGAAATATTTAAAAACAATTCAAAATTGAAATTTTGATTTGATAAAAATAGTTATTTTTGCTATATGTGAAAAAAATATTTTTATTTAATTCAAATAAATTATATTTGGTTGAAATAAAATTTTTTTATTTTTTTGCATAATAAAAATTTTTTAAAAAACAAAATAAAAATTCTTTTTAATTTATTGTTTGTTGTATAATTTTTTGAATTAATAATCTATATACGTAGATTTGCAAAAAAAAATCTAGCAAACTAATTTACTTCAATATTATATTAACCAATAAATGAAAGAAGTACTTGAATTCGTTCTCAAGCTATGAATAGTTTCGTTCAATGAAATGATTATCCCAAATTCTAAGGCGACCATGACCATGAGACAGGAGGATAATTATAATTACTTTTATAGCTCAAACTGACAAGAATATATTCTACAATAAAAAAACAAATTACTATATTCTATTCAGCATTTGTTTCATTTTAAAATTTTTTAAATAACTTATAAAAAAAATTAAACTAATAATCTAATAATAATAATAATAATAATTAACAAATATAATTAATAAATATTTTCATATATTTCAAAATTTTAATATTTAATCTAAATTTTAAAAATTGTAATTTTTATTAATTATTTTAATTTTATTAATTTCACTATTTTATTATAATATTTATTATACTTTAAAAAATATTTCAAAGATTTCAAATATTTAAAAAATTTTGCACATTACCGCTAGAATCACGTGACACCGAATTGAGCGCTATCTATGATTTTTGTTTTGTACTTCGCTCCCATGTGTTTTCGACCGCAAAAATGTGTACGACGATGAGTACAAAAATATCACAAAAATATAAACTATTGTAAATATTAAATAATTGTTAAAATTATATTATATTCTTGACAGTTTTCAAAGTTAAACAAGGAAGAAAAAATGTTAATTAATAGAATATTAACCTTAAAAGTAATTCCAAGGTGAGTTCATTTAATTTTCATAGAAATCCTAACCTATTTTTATTTGTAACAATAAAATTTATTTATTTTTATAAAAATATTGAATTTATAATATATAATAGTTTGTCAAACATGGCTTATTATTATTATTATTATTATTATTTTTTTGTTGTAAAATATTGTATTATTATTAAAACACATTTTATGATGTTTAATATGCTTCAAAATTTTATTGTTTGTAAAAATTTGATTTTAAATTTATCAATAATGGAAAATTGTAAATAAATAATAGAAATGTATTTGTTATTTAGGAAAGTTGTTTCTTATTCAGAAATAACGAGACAACAATTACACACTGCTATTAAATTGCATTTATCAATTTCGTCAAGTTCATCAGATTCTTCTGATTCAAGTTCTGATTCAGACAATGAACAAAAATCAAAACTCCGATTCTCGTCAAAATCTGTTAATTATTTAAAAGGGCAAAATAACGATGACAATTTTAATGAATTTAAGAAATCAAGTGATGAAGTGAGATTAAAAAAAAAAATTTGTCATAATTTATAATTAATTTAGAAAAATATTTACTAACATTAATTTAAAATTATTTAAAAAAAATTACATTAAATTTATAAGTATTTTTTCTTTCTTTTTTAGAAAAAATTGTCGAAAATTGATGTCGCAATTCCTAAAAAACCACCAAGACCTCAAAAAAATATAAACTCTCCTCACTCTGAAGAATTAAAATTTGGTTTGTAATGCGAGAAGATTTTTAAATATATATTTTAATTCTATTTAAGTTTAATGTTAGTGATCTAAAACAAAATACAACGAAATTAAATGATTCTGATTACAAATTAAATATTCAAAAAAAAAATTTTTACCATTACAGAAGAAAATTTTGCCAATGCAGCTAAAAAAGTAGCAGAAAATTTAGGCGGAGATATTAAAAAAATAGAATCAGATTTATTAAACAGGCTTTTAAAACCAAGTGAAACAAATGATTCATCAGAATCTTCCGAAGATATAAGGTTTTTTTCTTTAAAAAAAAAAAAAAAATTCATTTCAATATTTAGTGGAAAATGAAAAAATATTAATTCAATTATATATTTTTAGTGATATTTTAAAAGGAATGAAAGTAGATAATTCGTATAATTTTCAACGAAATAAATTACAACGTGTACGTGCTGCTTCTACAAAAATTGATAATCTTAATGTTGAGTTTAAAGGAGAATCAATAAATAGACGTTATAGAGATTTAAAAGGGTAACTTATTTCTATATTCTCTTTTATCAAAAAGACGTTTACTTCCATTTATATTTCTGTTTAGAAAATTTCGATAATTCATTAAAAATAACAAAAATAAAAATACAATATAATACAGTTAAAGAATTAGCAAATGTTAATTAATTTTGTTTACAATTCATTAACAAATTAACAATTTTGTTTTTTTTTTACAGTGAACAAATGAATGAAACTAATGTACAACTAGAACGGTAAATTTTTTAATTATAATATTCTAAAAAGAAAATTTGCAAATACCGTTAAAAATTAATATGCAATTAATTAATAGTAATTTTCAAGAAAAAAAGTATAACAGTTTTTTTTTGAATCTTTATTTAATTTAAATTGTTGTTATTCAAAAGAATATCTTTTTAACTAAATTTTTAAAAATTTCCATTTCAATGAATTTTTTATTTAGCCAAATAAATATTGGACATAATCATTTAACCATGAATTTTAAATTTGATTAAATTCAAATTGTAATTGATTAATTTTGAAAATTGTTCTAAAATGAAAACTACTATTAATAATTCAAAGATGACTTTGAAGGGTAATATTTTGATCGAAATATTGATTTATAACAAGTTAATCATAACAAGCGATTAATTAAAAAATATTTTATTTTTAGAATGAGTATATTTAATGGACAAACTAAAAAGTTTGGAATTTTGAAAATACCAACAGACGAATCACAAGTATCCGAATTGACAACTTGGTCACATTTGGAGAAAAGAGAATTTAAACTCTTGGAATGTACACCACCAACTAACTATTTTCAAGAAATGATTCAATGGACAAATGAAGGAAAAATTTGGCATTTTCCAATTGATAATGATCAAGGTGAGCAATCATTTTTAACTTTTATTTATTCTTGAGTAGTTTCATATGGGATTTAGTGATCACATTTGAGATTTTATTCATTTTTCCTTTTTAGATAGATATAGTGTGTCTAATTAACCATACCAAATATTAATTGAAAATATTTATTATTTTTTGACTTATTTGCATTAACAAATTAGGCCTCGGATTATACGACTTTTTCGACTTATTTTAATGAAATGTGACTTCTTCGAATTTTTTTTTTTTTACAAAAATTTTAAACAAAATACATTTTTTTAGTACCCATACAATGCAGATCTTCTTCAAATCTTCTTTATTTCAATTATTTAACAAATTTTAAATTAAAATTCTTCACAAAATTAATTATTTTTAATAATTTTATTGAAAATTTTTCACAAATTCAATTATCTTAAACTATTTTTCAATTAAAATTTTTATGAAATTGAATAATTGTTTATAATTTTAAAAAAATTAGCAAATAAAATTTCCAAAAATTTTTAATTCAAAATCACTTGAAATTCAATTAGTTGGAAAAATTAAAATTTTTATGATTATTGTCTGAAAATTAACAAAATCTTTTGAAATTCAGTTCTTTCTAAAAATTTCAACTTTAACTCTTCCAAAATTATTATTATTATTTAAAAAAAATTTTTATTTAAAAATTTGTAAAACTTAATTAAGTATTGCCTGAAATTTTTTTTTTTTTTACCCTTAAAACTAAAAAACTATGACAAAATTTTTAATTCGAATAAATTGCTTAAATCAGACTTCGAAGAATTATAAAAAAGTGAACTTTAAGAATTTTTTTTTTAAAATTTGTCCTACTTAAATAAAATTTTGAAAATTTGTCTTACAATTAGTTTGATTCTGAAATATTCGAAAATAAATTTTCTTGATAATATTCATTATAGAATTAATAAAAAAAAAAAATGGTTATTTAAAGTAAAATATTTATTAACTAATTAAATTTTGTTAAAATAAAAAAAATCGACTTTTTCTACTTTTTTTTGGAATATAAATCGACTAAAACGACTTTTAGTTTATAACTATAAATTTGTTTATAACGATTGTCAATAATTTTTAAACAATTTACCAACTATTACTAAATGTTTTTAAATTATTACTTTAAAAATGTTAATAAAGAATTCGAAAAACAAAATCAGAGACGTTATGTACAATTTTGTTACCTTTTAATTAATTAATTGTAATAAATTTGCAAAAAATGTTGTCACTTAATTAAAAAATTTCATCAAATATTTTAGGAATAGTGGAAGAAAAAAAGGTACATTTCTCTGAACATGTTTTTATGGAGCGTCATTTGAAAGGATGGTGTCCAAAACACGGTCCAATTCGACAATTTATGGAATTGGTGTGCGTTGGTCTTTCGAAAAATGCATTTATGACAGTCGATGAGAAAATACAACACATTATGTGGTATAAAGATTACTTTGGTGATAAACGAGAGTTACTAAAGGAACTTGGCGCACTTGATAATGAAAATCCATCTGTTTTGCCGATACCAACAAACAAGATTGATTTAGGACCTCATTATTAAATATTCGTAAATATAAATGTTAATTACATTAATCATTTGTTTTTTTTTTCAAATAAAAAAAAATCTTTGTTAAAATAATTTATTCAGGATTACAAAACATAATTTTTTTTTAACTGTCGCTTTAATATAATACCCGATCAACACAAGTCAGTACAATTACAATTTTTTTTTTTTCTCTTTTTAACTAAAAAATATGAATTTGTTTTAAAATTGACAAAAGGTGTATTTAATAGTGTAGAAAAGAAAGTTTTGAAGTAAAGGGTAAAATTTCTCAAGTTTTATCACTTTTGGTTTTAAAAACATATTTCTTTTTTTCAAAAGTTAATTTAATTCTTCTACTTTGTAAAGTCATAAAATTTTGTCCTTTAAATTTTTTTTTTTTATTGTTAATCAAGAAGTATTACAAAACTATTTTCTGTCAAAAAATTATAACAATTTGCATAAAAAATATTTTTTTTTCTTCCAAATTGTTGATCATAAACTTTGTAATTTTCACCAACTTGCCGTTGTGGGATATTTTTACAAAAATTTAATTTGCAAAAATGTTTTTTGACATTCGTACAATATATTTTTGTCAATTATTAAAAAAAAAAAATTATTTTTAAATTATATATTAATGATATTAATCAAATCAAAAATCATTAATACGATTTTTTTTTAAATAGGCAGTGATAAAATATAGGATCAGTTGGGGTAAATGGGGACAAAATCGCTATTTTTCACAAATTACGTAAGTTTCTTCCTTTAAAAGGTAATATTTACGGGTTTATTTTTTTTAAGTTGTTATTTACATTCCCAGGATTAATTTTAGTAGAAAAAAATTTAGATAAGTTTTAAACGCATGAAACTGACTGTCCCCATTTACCACAAAATTTATAAAAAATTTCATAAAATTTGGGGTAAATGGGGACAGCATAATTTCTAAGAAAGTTTTAAGAAAAAAGTTTTCTTAAGTATATTACTGTATTAAGGGATGAAAAAACTTGAAAAAAATTTGTAGTAGATATATAATAGTTGAATCAATTGAAATTTTTTTATTTTTTTTTTTATTTCAGTATTTTGTCTCGGATTTAAAAAAAGTTTTTAATGCATTGAGCGATAACTTGAATTATCTTGCTGCCAATTGTCAAGACAAAAACAAAAACTAATGGAATGACCAGTGCCAAATATTTTGTCTCTCAAAATGATAAAAAAAAGTTAATGTTTAAATAATTCACAATGTCAGCTCTAATATAGTGGGATATTATTATTATTATTATTATTATTTTTTTTTACTTTATCAACTTCACCTCAAACTGCTTTTTGAGGGGTTTTTCGGGAATATTGATTACGAACCTACAATTACATTTTCAAAATCTGATGTCTTTGTATTATTTATAATATTAATTTGGTCGAAATTTCGTTTGTCCGAAAAATCACTTATCATAATAAAATTTACTGCGAACTTGAAAATTTGTGATTATTTAATTTTTAAATTCTCGATTAATTGTTATGACAAATTTTAACTCCTTTAAAAAATGATTGCAGGAACTTGTAATAATTTTGGTGTTATTTAGATTTTAAAAAAATATACAGAAGATTGTCAGCAATAGAAAATATCAATTTTTGACCAGTTTAGAATTTATAATTAAAAAATTAACATTTTTCAAAATTATACTATTTTTTTTTACAATTTTACTCCTTTTATTCATTCATTCTTTTCCACGCTTTTTTTAATTAATCTTCAGAATCTCTGGTACGGATTTTTAGAAAATAAATTTTTTTTTTATTTAATCATCGAATTAAATAAAAACTGTCTAAAATGTGCCTTTAAAAAAAAAAAAAAATGTTTACTAGAATTTGAGAAGAAATTCGATAGAAACATTCTAGTGAAATTTTATAGAATTCATGTTAGAATAATTTTATAGAATCGTTCTAGTAAAATTCTATCTTAGGACTTTTTCGACTGGTTATAAAATTAATTTCAAATAATTTTAGAACATTTATAGTTATACACTTTTCGAATAAAAATTATGTTGAGTTAAAATATTTTATTATAAATAATTATTTTTTTCAACATTTTCACTTTTTTCTTGCAGTAGCTTATTATAGACAAAAATCGCATATTTTCATCTAATTTTTATTAATAATAGATTAATTTATTCAATGAAACATTCTCTACAATCGTAAAATTTTTTTTTCAATTTTTAAAAGTGTTTTGTTAAAAAACTATAAACAATAAAAGTTTTATTCATTAAATAATTTTTTAACAAAACATACTATTAACAATTGAAAAAAAGGTTTACGATTGTAGAGAATATTTTATTGACTAAAATAAGATATTGTTCATAAAAATTGAACTCAAAGAAAAATTTGTTTGAAACAATCAAATAATATGCTTTAACAAAAGTTTATGGTTATGATTATCAACTAAATTATTCAATTGAAATACTTTTATTTGAATTAATCAAAATAATTTATTGCATTAGACTAAAATTTAAATCAAAATTTAAACAAAAAGTTTGTTCTTTACAAATAAAAAATTTGATTCAAAACAATTTTTTTATCGATCGTATTTGGGTTAATTGTCTCAATCAAAATAGGTTAATAAAATTATTTGATTAAGTTAAATTAAAAATTAAATTTCTCTGAGTGTGCGATTTTTGTCCACCAATAAGCTGAGAGAAAAAAGTTAAAATTTTGAAAAAATAATTTAACAAAAAATTTTTAGTCAACATAATTTTTTTCTTTTTCGAAAAATGCGCGCATAATTAAATCCTTCCTTACAACATAACGGATATTTCAAGTTATTCTATATGGACGTTTTCCGAAATATCAATTTTTGGTTCAGGAAAATTAGAATATCCCACAGGAATGTTCGTCGACTTTCTAGGGAAATTCTATAATTTCCCCGGACAAATTAATATCGCTATGACATTCTGAATATCCGGATATGCTTTTGAAATAAAATTTAATTATAAAAGTTTTTGTTTGCAAATATTTTTTGCAATTTTTAGAGCCTCTATTCTCGTTATGAAAAAATAATTATTACATATTATAATATAGTAATTGAAATTTTCGAGTTATAAAAAAATATTGCGATTTACGTTTGAGTGCATTGGCTTAAAGCGCGACGGTGACGGCGACGCCGCCGCGTACTAAGGGTATGTTATTGATCAATGAGGGAAACTAGCATGGATGACCTGTGCCGGCAGAGGCAGCTGTCACTTCCTTTATATTTGACATTAGAAAAAAAAAAATTAAGGCAACTTGCACGTGTAAATCTTTCGTTATTTTAAATTAGACGCTAAAATAAAGTTAAATTTGTTAATTTTAATTTTTTATCGCGTAATAACGTGACGCTCCTGATCATAACAAAACGGGGTGCGACCATCAAATACAAAAAAGTTCGAGGAACGTTTTGCAATCATTCTCTCTCTTTCTCTCTTACGTGTTGTTGAAAGGGTGCATTTCACGATGTACCCGTGTGTTGTTATTGCAATTTAGAAGGCCCTGATAAAGGGTGTGGTGTAATTTTGGAGAACACATTCATCACGCGCCTAAAAGCGCGATTCTCAATGCAGACCTTACGAAGAAAGAACAGCCCCTGCAAATGTAAGTCTCGTCAAAAAAAAAAAAAAAAATTCTTTAATACATCCGCTGTTTTTTTTTTTTTCTTCTATTTTCCATAATTCCTCGAATGAAAATTAATTTAAAAATGAGCTCTGAGGAATATTATTTTGAAAATAATGAGAGGATAATATTGTGATTTTGTTTTCCCTTAACGATAGGAGGGTAAGAGAAAAAATTGATGTAATTATAATATAATAATTTTTTATTGAAAAGGCCTAATATGATTTAATAAATTTTTATTGCACTCAAATAGTTTCGAATAAATTGAAAGAATTTCAATAAGGAAAGCAAAAATGTAAATATATGTACAGAACTCGAGCAACGTTTTTTTTTTCACTTATGTAATATAGTTTCATATATATAGTATATTTACAAGAAAGTTTAAAATATACTTGCGAATTTTTTTTTTGGTAATTATTCCTTATTTAATTTTTTTTTTAAATATAATTTTTAAAAAATTAAATTTTTTTTTAAACAAGGTGTAAAATTTGGAGCAAAATGTATAAATATTTTTTTTTTAGTGAAAGCTGAAAGGGAGTTATATCAATCTTACAGGGATGACTCATAGGCTAAAGAATATCGTGTCAGATCATGCAATTTGTGATTGTATAGAGCTGATAAGAAATTTATGGCATGTATTTAATGATTGTATTTCAGGAATTTTTTTAATGTACCATTATCATTGTTTTTTTTTTTTTTTAAATTATTTGTCGATTGATGGCAAAGAAAAAAATGTACAATTGCATTATTTATGAAAAGTAGGAGAATTATAATTGATGCATTTATAGGGGTTGATTTTGTTTTTTTTTCTGTTTTACCCTCAAAGCTGTGTTTAATATTGGGGGTTAAAGACAGAGTGCGCCACTTTTGCCTTTAGTATGGGATTTCTTATTATTGAATGTTTAAAATTTGTTAAAATCAAAGAGAGTATAAATCATATCACCACAGTTATGCGTTCAATATTAAAGGTTATAAATAATGAAAATTACACTTTTCTAAATTTGGTTTATTAGGCATATTAAATATGCGTGATACTTGTTTATTTTATAAACACTTTTGATAATACTAATTTAAAAATTTACACATGATATGAATATAAAAATAACTAAAACCTTTAATAAAATGAACAATATTTAAATTATTATTTAAGTAACATGATATTTATTAATATTATCACAAATTTTATTATTCAGATTTAGTGTAACAAAAAAAGTTGCGTTGAAAATGTAATTATTTAACAATTTCATCATATTTATAAAATTTGTAATCAATAAAATACAATTTTTGAGGTTAAGTTTTCTAAAAAATAAAATATTGAGAAAAATATAAAGAAATACAATTTTTGGTCAACTGTATCAATTTCTAAGTCGGTAAAGTTCACGCAACGTTTATGATCATAACGATTGAGAAGAAAAAATATTTTTCTATACAAATTATTATTATTTTTGATCTATAAAATTTTTTTTTCATCGTTTCTTGATCAATAATTTTTTGAAAAAAAATTTGTAGGCAAAAAATTAGTTATTATTTTTTGATTGGAAAATATATTTTTTTTCCAATCGTTGATCATAAATGTTGTGAACTTTACCGATGTCAATTTCTAAATTTTGTAGCAAATTAAACCTGAAAATTTAATTCAATATTATTATTTCTATATAGTTATTATAATTTTTAATAGCAGGTGTCGTTCACTGTCTGGATGTCGGTGATATAAGTTTTTAAACCCTTCTTTATTATTATTTTTTTTTTAATAATTATTATTATTTTATCGTCGTTGTCGTCGCAAGCAATAACTTTTGCTGCTTTTGGTAAAATTATTTTATTTTAATTTATTTACACTTATTAATTTTTTATATATTATCAAGTACCTATTATTTTAATTTTTTCAATTTATTTATTATTTATAGTCATTAATTTTTTTTCCGAAAAAAATAGTTTTATTCAGTTAAATTTAATTATACAGTATATTTAATTCATAAAAAAAATTGTTTGGTTCAAGTAAATATTTATTTGATAATAGTTAAGTATACAAGATTATTTGAATCTAATAAATTTTTTTCATTGTAGAAATAATCCTGTGTAATATTCAATTTTTTTTTAATTTCTTCTATTATTTTGAAATAATTCACAAACACAAATTTTCAAATTAAAATTCTTCTCCAGTAAAAGAAAAATATAAACGAAGATACGAAATATACAATATGTAATAATTAAACGGCCCCTTTCACACTGTGCCTAAATGACCGGTACTAAAGTGAGTACTTTATGCACAATATTACAAAAATATACAATTTACAAATAATAATTTATTTAATTTTTTTTTATTTCTTCGAACAATCGAATAAGAAATGAAAAATTAAGTCAAGAACAGTAGTCAATTATAAATAAATATTTTTTAATTTGAGAAAAAAAAAAACAAGAAAAAATCAAAATAAAGTTCTTTTTATTATTTCTGTATATTTGATATATGCACATAAACTCAGTGATTTAAGCTTTTGTGATTTTTTAAAACATAAACGCAAACGTATAAAATCATAACAAGTGGTGTAAAGATAGTCAGAGCATCTGGTGCAAACTGAAAATGAAGAACGAAAAAGTGTAAAGAATCGTATATATATATATACATAAAAAAAAGGGGGATGGAAGAGTTACCCCAGCGATTTTCGAGTGCCGACAGTTGGTGCACTCAACTCTCAAGCAGCTATGGGCACAATCCCACAAATGTAGTTGGCGACTGGGTTATTAGTCGCAAAAAAAGTGTTTTAAAAGGCACTACTCTCATTATCAAGAAGCATATATAGAATAACCTGTAATTGTAACAAGTTTCCGCACTTTCTTTTTATCAACTTGTCGTTGATTATTTTTTTTGATAAAAAGGTTCATTCTTTTATTTTTTTGTCATAAAAAGTGATATTAGAAGTTTTTTTTCAAGTCCCGATTTTTAAACGTATAAAAAATATTTTTTTCCGATTAGTGTACAAAATATAACTTTGAGCTGTGACTTTAAAAAGTATATTATAAATTTATTACTTCTATTGGTGATTTTTATTGATTGTTTTCATCTATTTTTCTATATATTTATATAATTAGGTACCTGGCATTTTATTTCAAATGTATCACTAAAATAAACAAAAATATAATGTTCTAAATTCTGAACTTTCAGATAAACAAAAATATTTTTTACTATTTTTTTAAGTTCAAATTTTATATGCAAATAAATAAAATCAGACTTCTGTCTTTACATTGGCCCAAACTTAGAAATTTTCATATATTTTTTCGTTTTGAGACATCAAAATTTTATTTCTGTAAAAAAATTTTTGCAAAACTTTGTTCGCACATCACTCAAAAATGGCTCAACCAAATCAAGTATAATGAGCGGTTTTTTATTAGAGAAACAGCTAACTTAAAATCATAAATTCACAGAATTTAAAAATATTTAGTTGAATCAAAGATATAGCCGAAAAACCGTTTTTTTGGAGGTTAAAAAATCAAAAAATCAATAATTCCAATTAGTTGCTCCTAAACTTGGTGCAGGAGTATTTTCAGTTTCTCTTATTTAGAATTTGTCATCAGAGAAGTGAAATTATAAATTTAAAAATCACAAAGTGACAAATTTTATTGCAAAAATAGTAAAATTACGAACTTTTAATCTAAATTAATAATTAAAAATTTTTTAATCTTCTATATTAATAAAATCAGACTTTTGTCTGTACATTGCTCAGAATGCAAAATTTTTGACATAGTTTGTCGTTATGAACAACAAGAAGTCCAAAAATGTCCATAAAAAAAATTTGTGTCTGTATGTCCGCAATATTTTGTTCCAGCATCACGTAAGAACGATTTGATCGATTGAAGTGAAACTTGGCAGTCTTTTAGATATTAGCCTTACTTAAAATCTTTGCCATACCCGATGAAAAAATATTAATTTGTATGGAAGATATACGTGCTATAAAACTGTTTTTGGGGTTAAAAAATCGAAACAACTATTATTGTAACCGCAATTGCTTTCAAACTTAATTCAGGGGTATTTTTAGGATCTCTGATTAAGATTTTCACGTTAAAATAATAAAAATGCAAATTTAAAGCATCTAGTTCAAAAATTTGAGAAACAAAAAATCGAATAATAAATAATTGTAATAATTGAATTTATGCGTTCCTAATTATTTTGTTTGTACAAATCTGTTATTACATAGTAAACTTGGTTGTATCTTTTTCTATTGCAACGTTTTGATGCACATAAGTTATATCAAAAAGAGATCGTTTTGTGTATCAGTTTTAGAAATGATACACGAAACGGTCTCATTTTTTGATGCAAAAAATTGAATCAATTTATATCAATCATGGCCGAATTGAATCGACTCAAAATTAAACGAATTTTTTTCAGATATTTTGGTAATAGTACAATTGCGGAGACCATTTCACTATTTAATTTGAAAATGAAAATAACAGAAAATCAAAGACAATGTGCAATTCGATAATTAAAAAGTGACAGCTTATAAAGATAACCTAAAATGCATGAGAAAAAATTTGTCAATGTAAATAAATTCTGAGCAATTTACAGACGATCCTGATGAAAATACTAAGTAAATACTAATAATTTTTTTACGAAAATACTATCGGTCACGCACCACTAGATGTCGAGACAGCTAGTAATAAATATAATAATAATAATAAAAAATGAAATAATAATAAGACTAATAAAAGTGAGCACTAATTCACATTAGTAAGAATTTTTACTAATTTCCAGTAAAATTTTACTATTTGATTTAATAGTTTAACAATTTTTTTTTAGTTTTAGTCAAAACTGACTAAAATTAGTGAAAACTTTTAACTAATTTAAATTAGTAGCTCACTTTACACTAATTCAGATTTAGAGAGTTCATTTCACAAAAAAAGTCGATTGAAAAGAATTTTTATTTTACAAAAAGAATATTTGAAAAATATATATATTCAATATGATAATTATTTAACAAGGGAGAAACAAGATTTCCTAGCGAGCGTATACGTATATAGATTTGATCGTGGAAATGAAATTGATCGTGAATTTGAGGTATATATGGCATTCGCGTTTATTCGACCAGATGTAAATTGATCCACCCTGTGGACGACTTAATTCGTTTGGACCTATTGCTGTTACATGGTTAGACTTGTTCTCCACACAACCCCCACGGAGCATAAATTCGATTTGATTCACGTGTGTTACGTGATTGCATTTCGTATCAACTTGCCCATGATATATCCCACGTAGAGGGTGACATGTCGTCACAATACAATAAGATTTTCAACCAAGTTGCACATATACATATACACACTCACACTGAGAGGAAAAATGAATTTGCTATATATATATATATATATATATGCTGGTTCGATAACAGGTTTCCAAGGAGAAGTGAGTTCAAGTGACACCAGCTGTTAGATTGGTTTTATTCAAGAATGAACTTGAAAATTGATAAACTACTTTATAAACGAAACACAAATCATATTATTCGCGCAATGGCAAACAAAGAAGCCGAAAAACTTTTTTAAATATAGAACACAGAACGAGACAAATAAAACATTTCTAAAATTATTAATAAAAATTTTACTAAAATTACTGTAACAGTAAATTATAGAAAAAAAATTAAATAAATCAATAGAAAAAGTACGAAATCAACAATTACTGCAATCGTAATGTCAATTACTTTTTTTTAGTTTCTTTTCTTCTGTAAAAAGTTCCCACGGAAAGCATATGAAAATTCCATAAAAATTCCATGGTTTTTTCATCAATTAAAAAAAAAATTTCATGGATTTTTCATGGAAATTTAATTTTTTAGACTTTCAAAAAATCTTTCCATATAATTTTCATAAATTTTCCATAATTTTTCAAAAAAATTAATTTAATTAAATGTTTAAGAAAAATGAATGAAAAAAAAAGAAGACTTTGATTTGACTTTTCATAGAAATTCCATTAAATTTTCGTAGACTTTCAATAAAGTTTCTATCAAATTTCCATAAATTTTCCATAATTTTACCAAAAAATTTCCTTATATTCATTGACTTTTTACAGAAATCCCATTATATTTCCATTGAATTTCTATGAAATGTACATGTAAACCCAATTGATGGATTTCCCATGGAAACTTGATAAAATTTCTATGGAATTTTTACGAAATTTCTGCGGAAATTTTTAACCTGAACAGAAAAAAAAGTTTTAGTTAAAATTACTAGATGCATCTGGTTAAAACAAGAAAAAATATTTAATAAGACTGATTAATCTAACAGTTCTGGTTAATTTTTGGGTATAAGAACATAACTAGAACATGTAACCAGAATTTTTAATTAAATTTTCTAATATTTCTAAGCAGAAAAAGTAAAATTTACTATTTCCAGAATAATTTTTACTATTTCAGGAGTAAATTTTACTATTTTCGTAGTAAAAATTACCTTTATTCGTTTTTTAATTTTTCTCCCTGTTTTATACCTATAGCAAGTAAAAAACTATGTGAATAAAGAAAATTAAAATTTTAATTTCAGTCAAAAATGAGCCGACCAGATTTTTGGGCGAGGGTGTGTCGTTTAAAGCGAAGTTGATTGGAATTTTGGAAGTGTCGGAAGCACGTGGGGACAGTATGTGTCAGGCTGCATTGGCGGATTTAAAAATGGCAATTCGAGCTGCTGGCGAACATAAACAACGAATCACTGTCCAAATTAGCATCGATGGTTTACGATTACGCAATGAGAAAACTGGAGTAATTATTTACTTTTTTCCTAATCTCTTGAAAATATAATATATACGTTTTCGCAATGAAAACAAAAAATATTAAAGAAATAACTGTGCATGAATCATTAATAACCAGCTAATGCATTTTATAACAAAGGGAATGAAGATAGAAAAAAATTATTTTTCGTAAAATCAAAATTATATGTATTTAAATTAAAAGATGAAAATTCTTTCAGGACTGTCAGTACCACCATCCAGTACATAAAATATCCTTCATTGCTCAAGATATAAGCGATCCAAGAGCTTTTGGATATATATTTGGATCACCCGATATGGGGCATAGATTTTTCGGTATAAAAACGGATAAATCTGCAGGCCAGGTAAATCCTATATATATTTTAATTTCGTTTTTAAACTACGAAAACAAAAATTAGTAAATAAAGAAAAATTACTTTTTAAATTTACATCGTTTTATACTGGCTTAATTTTTTTTTAAAGAATCCCTTTGATAATAATAGTTTCTAAATTCTATATACCATTTTAAATAGGATCCAAACTAATGTAAACAGGCTTAAGATTTAAAATTGCTATTACATTGTGTCAATTTGTAGCAATAATTCTTTTGAGCAAGGCGCAAAATTATATTTGCACAAGTCTAGTACGAACAACAGTTTCAGAATGATACTGACATCGAACGATGGCTTTTCTAATTCTATAGGCGTGTGTAAATAATTGCGTTACTTTGTCGGTTTGTTGCAATTAACTCCCGTCGATCACACTGTTGTAAGTTTCGAATTAAACACGCTTGGTTTGACTCCCCTTCAAAAGGACTTTATACATATATATGTATATCCACACCCCGAAGTACTTCTTAAAATTCAAATCAACCTCCATTTTCAGAAATTTAACTACTTCAATTTCACTCATCACTGACAGTATATTCTTTTTTAAATCTTGAACATTCCATTAACTTCAAATTTATTAATAATGTTAAAAAGTATATTAATTGTAATAAATTAATTTTTACACAGGTTGTAATAGCGATGAGAGATCTTTTTCAAGTGGTTTTTGAACTTAAGAAGAAAGAAATCGAACAAGCAAAGCTGCATATAGAACAAACCACAATAAAGTTCCACCCAAGTGGAATTTTTGTAGAGCCATCGCCAGATACAAAGGTACGAAGGTCGTTATGGTTTAAGCTTTTTTATTCTTTGTTTCCACATATTTTAGCTTGAGAGAATAGACTTTGAAATTCGTATTTTAAATCTATACAGTAGTAGACAAGCTAACAAGAGAGAATGAGAATTTTTGAGTATGAGGAGGTCGTTCAAAAAGTACGTCACCAACATTAAGCTAATTTTCTTATCAATTCTATTTATCCTTCATAACATTGAATAATCAAAGTACAAACAAAAAAGATTTCATGACGTTTGGTATTTATTGTAAATTTTCATTCAATTTCACGGGAGAATAAATTTGTTTTTAAATATACGCATGGTATAATTGAAAAAGAAGTTCAGTGAAATAAACTTTGATAAAAACAGTTCAAGACATTATAAAATTCCCGTCATGAAATTTAATTCACTTTTGAAAATTCATTACTAGATTCTGGGTTTGTATTTACACTATATATACGTGAAGAGAGAGGAGTAACGCAAAGGAAACTAGCTCTCGCATGTAATTTCCGAAGTATTTCCATCTCAACGAGTTAAAACAACTCTAGCCCAGAATCTAGTTTAAAAAAAATCATCACCACTTTTAGATAGTCATTCTCTATCCTATGCATTTAGGGGTGACGTGATCGTTAAACGGCCTCGTATTAGAAATTCAAGAAGAAAGCAAACACCAATTTTTATTTTAACTTTAAAATCCGGTTTTTAAATATTTGACATCTCGTTTTAAAGAGATAAATCCGTTAAGAAAAAAAAAATAAAGAGCATTAAGATCGTTGAATCTTTATCGTGAAAGACGCAAAAGTGTCTGCTACTTCTTGTGTAGGGTGCGGCAGGTAGCGAGACTTCTCACCATCGGACAATTTCCGAAGTCGAGAAATCTATTGGGAGAAAGCACGAGTCACAAAGTGGAGTGGTAGCAGATCTTTTGGACCTACAGTTTGAACTGAACTCGTTACAGCAGGGCATTCGACAAATGGACAAGATAACACCGGACAATCCAAGGCCAAGCGAGGACCCATTTGACGCTGATCCCTTTGGAGACTCCTTCGCCAATATGAAGGTAATTGAATCAATAACATAAATTATTCTCATTAAAATTCAACATTTACTTAATACTTTTGAAATATCAGGTGAAGGATAACGTTCAACCAATATTGCCGCCGCCGCCATCTTCAAGGAAAAGTCATCTCGATCGACAGCAATCTGTTCAGCAAACTTCTACTTCATCTTCTTCTAGTCCTGTTACAACTGTTACCAGCAAGAGTCCTCCACCTTATGGCTCAACTCACTGGTTCGACAAAGAAACAGAAGATCTATTTACCGATGGAGAACTTTCAAATTTGTCGAGGAATCTTGGATACGATAAAGACAAAGATAGTGTAAGTATCTACAGAAAATTACCTCTTAAGGATGTAAATTCTACAATGCAAATTAATTTTTCAGGACTCGAGTACTCCACGAAGTTATTACAAGAGTCAACAAGTTGATGTCTTTACGGAACTAGATCCTTTAGGAACAGGATCCAAAAAACCATATGTGGACAAAAAGGACTTTTTCCAACATTTAAAAAATCCCCCAAAAAAAGTATTAAAAGATCTAGCAACAACCAGTTCCAGTGAAACATTCCCTGCAGACTTTAGGATGTCGAATATCAACGATCCAATAGAACCTGTAAAGGTACAAAACACCACCTCTAGTTCTGAAAACTACGATGATAATAGTTTCGCCAACTTTGAAAAATTCAATGAAGACGAAACAAGTCCCAGAACGAGTTCTCCACTATTAAAGAAAGAATCCTCTCCAAGGAACAATTATCAACCGCTATCAGTTTCTCTACCACCTGAAGAAGAGAGACAAAAAAGTTTCAGTTCTACCTCAAATACATCAATTCTGACTAAAATGGATAGGGACTCTACAGAATCCACACAAGGATTAATAAAACTTCCAAGTCCAAGAAAGTATTTACAATATTCGAGAAAAGATTACGGAATGGATAGTAGAACACAATCTATAGAAAAGCCTTTTCCCATTGATTTTTCTAATACAAGTGACTCACCAGCTTCTCCATTAAAATCCTGTTCCTCAGAAGCAACATCAAGACTTTCAAACTCCAGTGTAGAAATGGACAATGTTCCTGAACCACCACCCAGAGGATCTGGAAGTATTATGATTAATCCTCCTCCACTGCCACCGAAGAAACAGAGTTCTAGAGGTGCTATAAAACCACCTCCAAGACCTCCGTACACTGAGGGGCATTTTCACTACGACTTCCTAGAACGAGAAGAGGGATCGCCGTCACCAACAAGAAAAGAAAGAAACAAAAGTCCTACAAGAGATATCAAAAGTCGTTTCGATGATAATTTCAGTCCTCCAATGCCACAATTACCAAAGAGATCTGAACAATCAACCCTTTCGGATTCCAGTTTTGAAGATTCGTTTAGCTCGATTATTCCTCCTTCGTTGTCCACACTATTCCAAAATTCTGGAGCAAATCAAACATCAGATATTGAAGTTAAGAAACCCAAACTGCCTTTGTATATTACCCTGAGTCAATTGACGGCTTCAAATCTTAGTGAACTAGCGACAAGTCTCAATATGAGTGTAGATGAATTAACCAATTTAAGGCTTCAGCAACTTACTGAATGTTTAGCAGAATTATGTCTTAAAGAAGCAATAGGTGTAAAAAAAGCTTCAACACCAGTAGTGGAAAAGGCTACTAAGGCGCAGTCCTCTGCTAAAATGGTTGAGACAGCATTCGTCTCCAATGAGCCATTATTTAAAGCGAATTTCGATCAGGAATCAAAATTATCCGATAGTACTTATGATAAATACGCGGTATTTAGAGAACTGCTGCAAACCGAAAAAAATGATCTAGGAAGAAACGGAAGCGATTCCATAGACACAGAAATTAGCGAGGATTCAAGACCACCAGAAGATGAGGAATTTGAAACTAATAATAAGATGGATAATATTGTGTCTTTAAAGAACCTCACTGTTAAATTGCCACCACTGAATGACAGTTTGCTTAAACGAGAACAAACATCAGATGAAGAGGTACGACGTGAATTTCCTGAAACTAAAATAGATAATATTATGTCGAGTAGAAAAGAGGATAAGGAGGAGGAAGAGGAGGAGAAGAAGCTTTCGCGAGATTCCTCAAAAGACAGTGAGGAAGGCACTGAGCAAGAGGATCAAATCGAGGATGGTGAGGAGGTATTAAAGAAATCTCAATCGGAAAATTCAGACAAAGACTCACCTCCAAATGAAACAGAAATCTCATCAGAGAAAGTTGAAATTAAACAATCAACATCGACATCAAGTGATCGGTATGCTGCATTAAGAGAAATTATGGATACTACTGAACAAGTTTCCTTGGATATTGAAACAGAATCTACTAATTATATTACCTCACCAATCAAGACTTCACCTATTAAAAAATCGTCTCGCAAAACTTCTCCAGTAAAAATTTCACCTGCTAAAACAAAACCATCTGCTGAAATAGATCTGATGAGTTTATTTTCTGACACACCACCTCAACTCCCACCAAAGAATAATATCAAAAAAGATACAAAGGCGGTGATGGATATATTCGAGGAAATCAAAATGTTGAATGTTGAAACGCCAACTTCAGTTAATAAATCCATGGCTGGATTTGAAGATGTTTTTTGTCCACTTTCAGAATCAAAATCAATAAAGGAGGAGGTCAAGGAAGAGGAGAACTGGGCAAAATTCGATACAAATGTCTTCCATTCGGAAAAATCTTATGGAGAAAATCATGGTTCAGTTGGTGGCACATCACCTTGGTCCCCAGATGGTAAAGAATTTTACAAGGAGCCACCAACAAGAACAGGAATTCAGAGACATTCAGGTGAAAGTGATAATGAGTGGAAAGATGAAGAAGAGAGCGAGGAAAGTAATGGAAGATATAAAGCAGAGGGTGTACCATATGGACGACCACCGTACGGAATGAACTTTGAAGAACGTGCTTACTATGAAGAGAATATGGAACCTGGTGACAAGGATAGAAGTTTTCGAGATAAAATGGGAAAGAAGACAAGAGGAGTACCTTGGAGTAAACCAGGTCATAGACTTCGCGATCCAACACCTTGGCATGAGGATAGTCGTTGGGAGGAGGAAAGAAAAAGGCATCTTCATAGAAAAATTCCCTATAAGGATGAAGAAGAATATAAAGCCTATTGGAAGTGCAGACACAAACAAAGGCCTTGGAATGGAGATCGAGAAGGATTCTGGCCACACGATGATCCATATTATGAGGAGGAACGAAACAAGAGAAGACTGATGTTATGGAATGAAGAAAGAGATAGTAGAGAAAGATTTAGTAGTCAAGAAAGTATGGTTTACGAAGACGAGGAGAGATGGTCGAGAAGGGAATATGAGAGAAGAAGATGGGAAGCCGATGGGACATATTGCAGTCGAATGTACGGAAAACATGATCCACATTATGGCGGTAGAGATGCCAGGCACTACGATTATCCGCCAGCGTGGGAGGAAGATTATGGTCCTGAACGAACAGATGATTCTCCTAGGTAAGTATCTCTATTAATCTTCTATAAATACAAAAACTGTTTCTATTTTATAAAAAATATTGTTCTTTAATGTTTTAGATATGCTTCTAGAAAGAGGCATTGGCCTAAAAGACCAAACAGTGCAAACGACGGAAGAAACCAAGAAGTTTACTGTAGTGGACCACCGTTATATTCAATGTCAAGGTCGGAATGCAGTGACAACGATTCTGATCCATATCATAGACCGCATAGATCAAGAAGTCGCGATAGTTACTGGGGAAGTGACCAGGAATTCGACAGTTGGGGCGAGAGACCTTATTGGTCAGAGGGAACTGACGCGAAAAATGATTCATTTCATAAAAGAAGAATGCCTAGGCGAACGAGAGTCCAAGCAATTTTATCGCAAAATTCACCATTTGAAGATGACTTCACTCAACCAGGGGAACGTAATGAACCTTCCGTGGATTCATTAAGCACTGAACCACGAACTCGCATTGAAGTAGAATTAAAAAAGTCTCCTAGTCCAAAAAATATCAAGGAACCCGGAAAAAGAGAAACTAGATCTCACAAAAGTTCCAGCTACTTTGAAGATGATCTTACACCTACAGCAAGTGCTTCAAGTGATGCTTCTGATCGACCTAGACTTGGCTCAGATCTTAAAGCAACTCCCGAAGAATTACCTTCTGATATTAAAGATCAGGATACATTTGTTAATGAAGAGAGTAGTAGAGACAGTTTTTATAACGGCGATCAGCGTTTCGACGATGACGCATTTACATTTCGCTCCGAGTTGGAAGATCAAGTGTCAGAGAAGACTACGTTGAAGAACTCCAGGTCCAATAAATATACTAGTAACAAAATTAAAAGTGACCAATATATCAAAAAGTCTGAATCAGTCAACATTTTCGCACGGGAAAACGATCCATTTGACGACGACGAATTCTTTAACTGATCCAAGGCCTCGAGTTCTAAAAAAAGAACTGGGTCTCCTCGCATTACATGGGATCAGAGCACTTGCATTTCTTATTCGCGGCAATCTCAAGGAACATAATTGTCACGAATGTCGATGTTTCTCCCATTTCGAAATGAAGAATGGTATTTTTATATCGGTCGAGCATGTAGAAACACTTTCTGTTTTCCCTAGGCGTTTTAAATGGTTAATAATTTTGAATATAGTTATAACTGTACAGAAACCCAAGAGAACCTTCTCAAACGACTGATGGGTTTTTCCATTTTATGTTGCAACAGATATTACGACTGTCTAATTTGAAAATAGTAATTAAAATTTACTAACACTATTAAATTATTTTACGTATATTGTTGAACCAATATGACGAGAACTTCATCACCAAAAACGCTGAAATAAATGAAGATGTAATTAGAATACATTTTTTTTTACTTAGAATCAATTTGGGACTAATTAGAACTACAATTCGGAAAAGTATTTGTTACGTCTTTAAAGAATTAATGATTATATAAAAGTAAAATGTCTGTTTTTACAACCCCCAATAGCATATCATATTCTGAGCAATAATGTGTCAATATTTCTGAGCAACATTACCAAGCAATATTATTTAAAATTTGCCTGAAATTATTACATCAAGTAAATATTGTAGCAATATGTTGTGATATTTGGGGCTAGATTCATCAAAATATAAATCGAATTGATAAAAGGGTATTTAGGTATTTTATAATACAATTGTAGTTGTTAAATTATTTACTTGTTTATTATTGAAATTTTTAAAATTAAAAAAACTAATACCAAATGTAGCTTAGTTATAAGGTTGGAAATTTTTTCACAACAAAGTTTGATAAAAATATTATTAACACTGTTTGGTAGAAATAATAAAATTGGACAGTTGATAAGTATCTGCTGCATTTAATAGGCAAACGAATGTTTTTAACTATAATTTTTTGTGCAATTTATTATGGTTTTCTAATATAAGAGACTTCAAGGAAAATTGGGGGCGTGTATAAAATTAAAATTTGTATGAATATGATTGTTATACCATTAGTGAAGTTAACGTGTGCCCTGGACTGTTATTGTGTGTGATAATGATCGCTAATTATCAGTCTAATATAATTTTTATGTTAAATGAGGTAAATTAATAGATCTATCGCTGTCATTTTAGGAAATTTTTCAAAAAAAAAACACTAATAAAATTGAATGTCATTCCTTACTGTTAAGACGTAACAATTAAAAGACAGCGTGAGATCTTATGTTAGAAAAAAATACGTTTTATTAATAATTAATAAATAAAATTTGTTGTTTTAATAAACAAAACATGTTTGCATAGTTACATTGTAAATGGCAACTGTTTCTGTTTTTTTACCCTCGAATATTGGATCAAAATCCAAGAAAAGAAAAGAAATCTAGTCAATAAATTCACGCTTCTCTTAAATGTTGTAATTTTTAAATTAAATATTGACAAATGACAATATTTACATTGACTTCTAGTTGATTTTAAGTTAATTGAATTCTGAAAAGTGACAGTACGAGGGTTAATAACTCTAATACAATAAACGATCAATAATTAAATTACAAAAATACTTTTTTAAAAATAATAAATATAGGAAAAATGAAGTGTTAAATTATTTATTTTCAATATCGCTCTATAGAAGAATTGTATAAATGTGTGCACTGTAACTATAAAAAAAAATTTAAATAATTCATCAGGGAAACTCAAAACTTAGACGAATTGTAGCTAATAAACTGTTTATTGTATAAAAATTTCCAACTCGTACTTCATGAAGCAGATTGTCTTGATCGGTAACAAGAAGCATATCCAACAATAAAGATTTTAAAAAACCAATTCAAATCATATGAGAATCAATTTTATCCACACTCATTTAAAATTTTTTCCTTTTATTTTCCCATTTACCTTATTTTTAAAATGTATAAGAATCTGTCAGATAAATTAACTTTTAATTTAATTTCTTATCTTTAAGCAATTTTCAGTTAATGAAAATAATTTATTGGAACAATATTTTTCAACATTGAAAAGATATATATTTTTTAAAGAAGAGACACAATTGATATTTAGCGCTGACATCAGGGCACTTGAAAAAGGTTGGATATTTAATACCTCTTGAAAAATTCTTTCTCGGTGACTGCAGGTTGTTTGAAATTTTAGGTCAAAAAAGAATCAGCGGTGTAAGGATCATGTATATTAAAATATTCTTGGCGCGAGGCAATATTAATAATTTCATTTCCCTCTGAGTAACACTCGAGCCAAGAGTTCGCCTATTTGAAAGTCAATAAGATGCAAATCAGCCGGAAAGGAACCGAAGTGGTCTATCCTGCTGTACCGAGAGAACGAGATCGAAACTTCATTGCGGCGCTTGGTAAACACTTGACGCTTTTATCCAGCCTATGGAATATTGATAAATCTACAACCCTCAAACCTCTGATGTGGGTACTGAAAAGAAGCCTCTTTTTTATGCACACATAATGAATGATTGAAGGAGATTTAATGTTGTTCTATAAAAACGATTTATCAAGAAACCAATAAAATTACAAACTAATTTTTATTTTCTAATTTTTGTGATAATTTTAAACAATAAAAAATTATTTACAGCATGTGCTGTCGAAACATGTCCGCAAATAAAAAATAAATTAATTAAACACCTAGTTTCCGTTAAAAAGGCCTCATAAAAATCTATCAACAATAAAAAATTACTTTATTTAATCTTGTATTAAAGTTTATCTTAATACATATATATATATATTTAAAATAATTTTTATATTTAAAATCTAATATTGCAATCTTCAATCTATTAGTCACAATAAATCAAAAACAAAAATAATTTAAACCTTTTTGACAATTTACTATTGTCCTAAAACCCACTAAATCAAGGACCAATTTAACCAGCATCAATTAGGCAATCAACCGCCAATCAAACATCGTAAAGCTGAAATTTGGTTGATTAACACACGAGTGATTAAATTTTAAACGTGGTTGGTAAAATAAACCTGAAAATTTGATATTTAACTTCGAAAATTTTTTTATAATTTATTTATAAATTTTTTTTTTGATTTTATTTTGCGATTATGAACATTGAAAAGATAAAAATAGATTTAAATTCTGTGAGAATAAAATTAATGAAGCAAATTTAATTTTAAAAACACGAGAAAATACAACATCAGAAGGAAATTAAACTGTATATATATATTTTTCAATTTCGTTTGGAAATCTTGATATCTAAAACTTTGTTCTAGAACGATTCATGAAAACCCTTACATTTTGAAACCCCACCTCCTGAGTATAGTTGTTGAGTTAACCCGTGTATACTCGCATTGGTGGTGCAAACGTACTCAAAGACTGAAAGTACTTTTGTTCTAAAGGAGTGTAGTGAGAGAGAATTGGAAAATGGGAGGGAGTAAGTGCAGTGAGTGGGTGGAGACAAACGGAGGGTATATATATATATTTGAGGATTTGGAAATGAACCGAGCACTTTCTCTCTCTCTCTCTCTCTCTCTCTCTCGTCAAATGCAATTTTAAAAAAAGTATAAGAAATGTTTATAATTGGGATTGTCGGGCTGTTGTTATGTTCCACAGTTTCATATTTCAAGGGAATACAGCATTAAAGGAGGAACCTCCTCATTCACTACGCTTGCGTCATTTTCATTAGTGTGGGTAACTTTTATTTTCTCCTATTGCTAAACGCATGATGTTATACATGCGTGCGTTAAAGCTCAAAACCTTTGTCGAAACACTTCTCGTCGAGTGCATTCGAAGACTCGACCTCCGTGTAATTCTCGCTTTGTTCCAGACCGAAAATCTCTACAGGGCTCAGAGAGTTTCCTGCAATTGCAGGGGGAAATGAAAGGTATTAGAGTCGATTAGTGTGTACAAGAACGACCATTGGAAACCCCACAATTGACGAAATCAAAGAGGAGCTATAAAAAAAAATTGAAATCGAATCAATCAACATTTTCCAATATTTATAAAATAAAAGAATTTTTAACAAACTTTACAAACTAAGTAATAAGTATTTAAATTTTTGAATGAATATATTTTTTTTTATTTCACATGCAAATATAGAAAAATGTATATAAATTAATGTTTAATACTGCTTTAAAAATTGTAGCTAATGGAAGCGTGATTGCATCTACTAAATGGGCGTGGTTAATAAATGCCACGCCTACCTATTAGCTATGGCTAATTTACGCCACGCCTGCCATATGTGAAAGTAAAGTTTATAAAGACTGCAACTACTGTGACAACTAAATTGTTAATACAAGTCCCGCCTATAAATGTTAAAACCACACTCATTTATAGGGCGTTCACATACCTACAATAGAACGTTCAAGAATGAATACAGTAAGCGTGACTTATACAAACACCGCCCATAAATGGGTGTGGTCATAAAAGCCACGCCTATGAGTAGGCGTGATTAAACCAAGCTCCACCTCCAAATGGGCGTTTCTAAGCCAGGTCTTCTAAACATTATACAAACCACGCCCAAAAATGGGCGTCATTAGCAGAAGAACCGTCTAAAAAGGGTATTTTTAAAATACGGCTTATAGTTATTATTGTCAATATAAACTCCGCTAGCAAACGATCGGTCCGAAAATCACGCCTAATGGGTGTGGTTAATAAAATCACCGCCTACAAAACAAATTTCAGGGAGAAATTAGAAGAAAAAGAAACGCAACATACTATTTTTTTTAATACAATTTTTAAAAATTAGAAGAAAAAAAATCTAAAGAAAAAACAATTGGAATTGTTAAAAATCAAAAATGTCAAGTACTAAATTTCTTTCTATTTCAACTGTGAAAGAAAATAATTTGCTGCACTTGTATTAAAAATAGAGGAAAAAAAGGGGTCAGAATGAAAAAGAAAAATGTGCGGTTGAGTAGAAAGATAAAGAGGTGATATCAGCAAGGCAGAAAATGTATATTTGAGAATGAGGGGTAGAGTGTGAGGCGTACGGCGTTAAAACGTATATAAAAGTGGCATCTTAGAAAGATGCAAAGCCGACAGTATTCTTTGTGATGGGCATAAAACTGGCAGGTTTTGTGTAAGGCCTCTTCACACTATACTTTCTTTACTTTTTTTTCTCTTCTTATTTTTTTGAAAGCAGGAGACATTATCGGCGTTTCTCGCTCGCGCGCGTGCTCTATATTTTTCCTCTCTACACATATACGTTTTATATACAAAGAAGCAGATTTTCCCTTTGAGGGCGGGATATTTACTAACATCCAAGATGGCGGTATAATCTGTCAAGCTCCCACAAAAGTCGACGAGTCACCCATTCGACAACCGTCTTTGCCCTGAGAGTTTCTTCCTTTTCCTTTGAGTGTAATCTCAAGGCGTTACCCGCAAAAGAACGGGTCGAGTATTTGCCATAGTCGCTGACTTTTCTAAAAAGGTTTCAACGCTGAATACAATTTTTCCTTCAAATACTTCAATTTTCATAACTTCTTCTTTTATATATTTGATTCTCACTTTTCAAAAAAATATTTTCAAATTATTATACTAGGAATGGTTTTTTTTTTTACTATATACAAAATCTTTTAAAACAATAAAAATGATAAATACCGAGAAATAATAGAAAATATTTAGTCAGAGACTTGTGATAATTTATGGAAATCTAATTTTGAATTAAAAAAAGTGTGAAGAAACAGGTGTATTAAAAAGATTACATATGAGAGAAAGGTATTAATCGAAATTTATGAATAGAAAAGTAGTTCTGAAGAAATGCACATTATTTGACATAAATCGTAAATATCTTTTCTCCCCCTTCTCAACCCCTATACGTCCTCGCCTTGTGAGTTCCCCGTTCCTTGGTTTGTCAGCACACAATGCACAATAAAAGAGCATTAGATCGTCGGCTTTGTTGAATGACTGCCACGACTTCTAGACACAATGGTACAGTCCCCACTCGGGTAGAGTACTCGAAACACCTGGCAAACAAGGAAACAATGCACGCCTCTTGGATACTTCGACGAGATTTCGCGCATTTCGGCCACACGCTCACTAACAAAATTATTATCACCACTTTTTATCTCCGCATTCCATACACTAGCTTGTTTCTTTTTATTCCGTAAATATTAATATAGTACTACAATAACAATTTCAAGCCACAGCAAATTATTATATTTAGAAACAAATATTTTCAATAATCTAAAAATGAGAAAAAATAACATTTTTATAACCATTACTTTTTAAATTGCAAATATTTTTGATTGTAATCAAAAAAATTTATTATTACAAAACTGATAATATTTCGTTAATTTTCAGTATACTATTATATATTTTTTTTAGACAATATAAAAATATCATAAATCTTTATATTTGATTTTAAACAATAAAAGCAATCTTTGTTTACTATTCATGAGGATAAAAATGCAAGTGCATGGTTTTCCCGACACCTGCATTTAAGTTGAACTGCAAATTCTTTAATAACTCAAACTCTTATTCATAGATAAGTATTTATCATGGGGTGAATTTATTCTATTGATGTCAGAAAGGGGCATAAAAAACGATCCCCCTTTTCTTTATTTCATTCATGGCAATGAACTAAACAGTTATTCATGTAAAACACAATTTTCCAACAGCTTAATTTTTTATTTTCTAAAACAAGAATGAAAATTTTAATTAAAAAATGTTTAAAAAAAAGTAATTAAATTATTAAAATTGTCACGAAAAAAGAGACCTATAATAAGCAAACTAATTATTATAGCACATAAAATTAAAAGGCACACTGAGAAAAAAGGTTTGAGCTGACAACCAAAAATTTCATTTAATATATGTGCAACTAAAATTTTTTGGTTGACACAACTAAACTTTAGTTGACATCAACTAAACTTTAG